AACACAATGCGCGCGCGGGTCAAAGCCGCTGTACGGTCAGTTCAGTACTAGTAGGTAAGGGAGGGGAACAGAAAAACTATCGGACTCTAATATAATAATCTGTGCTTACGATGGTACAGGGTAGATTTTGAATAATTATAAATGTTTTAATTTCTTAGCTCCACAATGAAACCATGTTGGGTTTGTCTAGCAGCTAAACCTTCATTTAGTTCTCTATAAGAATTCAAAGTACATGTAGGCATCTAAATTTTTTTCCATGTTCTCACATGTAAGCCAGTGTAATATAATAATATGCTTCTTGTGATCCTGGTACAGCATTTGGGATGGGAGTATGCTTCTCTAAAGCATATCCTGAGTGTCCTAAAAAAAGAACAACATATTATATACTATAATATTAATATTTATTTACACTTTTTTGGGTCAGTGGGGGAATGTAATACTACTTCGCCACATCCACGTGGGAGACCTGTACTTTATCCCACTGAAAACTCTATGTATCTGAGCCCAATCCAGTATCATGAAGTACATAACATTATTAAACAGTTGAAAAACAAAATAAGCCACGCCATTGACGATCTATCCTCTGCCTTACTAAGGCAATGTGCAGATGAATTGGCTCTACCGTTTTATATGCTAATAAATCAATCTTTCTCTGAAGGCGTCTTTCCTGATCGCCTAAAAAAAGCTCTTATAAAACCCATTCCTAAAAATAATATAAAAACCAATATTAATCAATTTCGCCCTATTGCCCTATTGCCCCCAGCTTCTAAAATATATGAAAAAGCCATGTGTGACCGTATCCATTCCTACTGTGAAAAATACAAAATACTTGACGACAGTCAAAATGGATTCCGAAAATAATTAACAATAAACAGTACGCTATTGGAATATTATTAGACATGACCAAAGCTTACGACAAAGTGCAATATAACATATTATTAGATAAGTTACACGGTGTAGGGATACGAGGAATACCACATAAATGGTTTGCATCCTACTTGAAAAACAGAGAACAAATAGTTGAAATCGAATACTTCAATAATAGTAAGAATATGATTGAAATGATAAGATCGGATAATAAAATGGTAAACGCATCAATTCCTCAAGGAAGTGTTATCGGCTGTATATTGTTTTTAATTTACATAAACGATCTCCCTAAAATTGTACAAGAGCCCTGTGTTCTTTTCGCGGATGATGTCTCTCAGCTTACATCGTGCCAAAGTGGTACAGACTTAGATGCCCAACTTAATTCGATTCTTGATAGAACGTCTAATTGGATGCGCGACCATAACTTAGATATTAACTATAATAAAACTAAATTAATTACCTTCCACCCATGTCAAAGAAGGCCACTTGACGTTGACTTCGTGTATAACGGAATGCAATTGGAAGTGGTCAATGAATTCACGCTCCTCGGTATATCCATTGACTCACAAATAAATTGGAAATCGCATATCAAGAAAATAAAAAGTAAAGTGTCTAGGTTTGTATATGCATTTCGGGAAGTTAAAAGAACCACTAACTTGCAAACCGCTCTCACCACTTACTATGCATATGCGTACGCATGGTTGAGTTATGGGATAATAATGTGGGGAAACAGTACCGACGCACCTACTCTCTTTACCTTACAAAAGAAACTAATTAGAATACTGGTAAATATTGACAACCGTAAAAGCTGTAAACCATATTTCCAAAACCATAATATTCTTACTTTGACTTGCATTTATATTTTAGAAACCAGTAAATTCGTCCGAAAGTACCCCAATTTCTATAAAACACGCGAAGAAAGGTGTGAAAAATATAATTTACGACACAGAAACAGGCTCCTTCTTCCTTCCTCCACGTTAGCACTACATTCAAGTGGTTCTCTGGTGTCATCCATAATTATATATAACCACTTACCACTTTCTTTAAAAGAGATAAAAAATGATAAAATATTTATAAGAAATCTCAAGACATTATTGATTAAAAAATGTTATTATACAATTTTAGAATATAAAAATGACATATTGAATTAAATATTATACAATTTTAGTAATTAAATATATACAATTTCAAATTATTAATTATTATTACTATTTTTTTATTATTATTATATATTATATAAAAAATAACTCGTCCTCCTCTCCTCTCTCCCGCTTGCTGTGCCCAACAGGGCCCATAATTAACCTACTTTGAAATGTACCTGTCTATCTATTTACTGTAAAATTATGGAATGCAAAGCTTAAATAAATAAATAAAAAAAAAAAAAATTTCGGTGATACCGGCATATGAGTTCACACGCACATTACGCACCAAAGCTTTATTTAGATTATAACTGTTCCGGACCACCGCTTAAAAATTGTAAATAATCCATAGTTTGTAGAAATAAGTTCGATTAGACATAGCAAATTTATAAATAGTACAATTGTTACATAGTAACACCTTAAGAACAGTAGATTTGATAGGGATAAGTTTATAGAGATTTAATTACTTTATGTTATTGTTTGCAAAACTGATTGGATACTATAGGATAAGATGACAAATAAATGATTATCATTGTTGTGGTTTCACTCCCCAAAAATAAATAGGTCAGATAATAGAGACAGACTAATATAGTACAGAAAATAGATCCCAAAATACATAGGCATAAACTATAAAAGGGACCTTTTATAGTATCATTATTTGTAGATATGTAATAGTGATTGTAATGTGCGTTGCGCGGCAGCATTCGTTCGACTGACGCGCGACCTCGCTCTCCCGCGCTATATATATATGAGGTGGAAGGGGAGCGAGGTCATATAAAAAGCGCGATCCGCGAAATCGCGAATTATTTCTAAACCGCACGCCGCGCAGCGCACACATCATAATAAAAATGTAAATTGAAGATAATATTATCGTTTGATGCACATATTATAAGAGTAAATTGTAAGATTTATAAAATATAATAAAAATTGTATAAAGGGGTGAGGAGAATAGGGCGGCCAAAGGTCCGCTGGCTAGTAGCCAAAAATCGTATATAAGTAGCGTCCAAAAGCGCTACAAATCATAGCGAAATGGACTTCTGAATAGCGAATTCGACCTCTGAATAGCGAAATTGATCTCCGGATAGCGAAATCGACTTGAATAGTAATCAACCACTGAAGAAATTCTCCTCGCCTCTGCATTCTGAAGCACAAGAACCGTCTTTTCATTTACTACCCGTCCACCATCGCCGTTGTCAAGCATAGTGTCATCACCCTCTTCACGCATCGTGTCATCGCCGTGTCACCGTCGCATCATCATCGCTTAAACGTCCTTCTCAGGACGAATCATCGTGGTGCCTATTGAGAGGCACCTGGTCCTTCACCCGCAACGCGCCCGCGGCGTTGATTGAGGCCCTTCAGGTAGGGAGTGCTTTGAAAAGGGCACTCTCTCACCTCGAGGAGGATAGATTGACGTCCGGGCGTACCCGCGACTCGGTGCCTGCCGACGCGCCTTCCGACTCCCGGGGGCAGCGGCCAGCACATCTGCTGGTCCTTCGAGCCGGATCAAGAAGAATAGAAGACAAAATAGAAGATGCCCGTCACACGAAGCAGAACTGGCAAGATGCAAGAGGAGAAGACAGAAGAGCGTCAAACAGATGCAGAACAGGTCCCAGACCCACCGCGGAGGGAAAACCCGTTCCCTATTCGACATAGCATACCGCCGAGGTCGCCACAAGGGACACAAGACGTCGAAGAAACCGTCGTTCAACAAACAACGGCGCGATCACAGCTCTCCGATAGAGAAAAGGAGAGACAGCAAAAAATCTCTATCGCCCGAGAAGAGGTCATTCGCTATCGATTACAGTTGGCGGAGGCCAAGCTAGCCCGACTGGAAGCCTTCGGAGAAGAAGACGAAGAACCGTCGGAACCAGCATCGCAAGACGGCCACAATAGGGTCGTCGAGTGGCTCGAGCAGCAGTCCGAGCCACCACCGCCTCCACCAGAAGCACCACCGAATCCACCGAAGAGGCCCACACCGGCAAGAATAGAGGAGCTGCTTCGGGGTACCATAGAAACTCACCAACGATTGGCACCTACAGACACCATTCAAGTTGGTGATCTCGCAACTGCAGTAACCGAAATCGTCAGGGCGACTACATCGTCGCTAGCGGCCGTCGCGCCGCACCCACAAGCGTCAACGTCGGGTCCCCTAGCAGCACAGTATAGAGGGGAACTCACACCGTTCTACGGGGCGCATACAGATTGGCTGGCCTTCAAGGCAGCCTACGAAGAATCTGCGGGGTATCTAACGCCGTCGCAGAACATAGAAAGGCTCCGGAGAGCCTTACGAGGGTAGGCTAGGTCAGCCATGAAGAGCCTCCTAATAGCAAACACGCCGGCCGAAGAGATCATGCACGAGTTGGAGCTCACCTTCGGTCGACCGAACAACATAGCAGAAGTCGAAATAGCAAAGCTGCGGAGTCTTCCACCACCGAAGGACACACAGGGGGAATTCTGCAGATTCGCCACAGCCGTCAAGAATAGCATCGTGTCATTGAAGACGTTGAAGAAGATCAACTTCCTATACAACCCGGAAGTGACGAAGTTATTAATAGAAAAACTACCGCCGAACATTCGACATAGGTGGTATGTTTACTGCCAGCAGCAAGCCCACGAAGACGTACCGGATTTAGTACAGTACTACAACTTCGTGAAGATAGAAGCTGAAATTTATAGCGTAAGCGCCGAACCCATGAAGATAGCAAGCATGGACGACAAACCGAAGCCGTCGGAAAGTCGTCGTGTTCAAATCCGTCCGCAGCGACCACATACAGCGAGCAAGACGGACAGCCCACCCCGCCACAAGCCAACGTGTCCCGTGTGCAAATCAAATTCGCACACGGCGGCGCAACAGTGTGAAAAATTCAAGAAAGAAAATAGCTACGGGCGTTGGGAAATAGCGAAGGCGCAACGTCTGTGTTTCCGATGCCTACAATATCGAACACAGACACATAACTGCAAGACGAAGACTTGCGGAATAGATGACTGCCCATCATGACTATGCATCACAAATTGTTGCACTACAGGGCAGCGAGCGAGACACAGAAGACAGAGACAGCAACATTATCGACAGGCGTCTCGCTCACACGTTCGCCGCGCAGTTATCTCAAAATACTGCCGGTGAAAATAGTCGGACCGCGGGCCAGCATCGACACTTTCGCCCTCCTCGACGATGGATCTACCGTCACCCTCATAGTTGAGGAAATAGCCACAAGAGTCGGCGCGGAGGGGCCGACAGAACCACTGAAAATAGAAGCACTGGCCGGCGCAACGGTTCGAACAAATAGTTCGAGACGCGTAACTCTAACGTTATGCGGACCAGAAGAAGAGTATGAGATCTCCGCCAGGACAATGAAGGGACTCAAACTCGCCAAACAGCAAATAGAAGAAAGGGATATCCGACGATGTCAACACCTGGCTGGCATCAAGAAGATACTGTGTTACCACGACGCCACACCAACGATCCTCATCGGCCAAGACAATTGGGAACTGTTACTGGCCATAGAAGTTCGCCGAGGATCTTCGTCACAACCGGTCGCATCGACAACTCCGCTCGGAGGGGTGCTGCATGGAGCGTCCACTCGCAGTCTCGGCCATCAAGTCCACCACGTATATCATCTACGTGAGGGGGCCGAGGATAGAATAGAAGAGGAATTAAGAAGATATTTCTCTATAGAATCGCTTGGCGTGCTGCCAAGGAAGACGCGCGCCGACCCTCAAGAACGAGCACTACAAATATTACAGAAGAAGACTCGCGCTCTGCCAGATGGGGGATATAGTACATCGCTACTGTGGAAAACAGATAAAGTCGAGTTGCCGAACAACTACGATGCGGCGCTCAACAGGCTGTACAGCACAGAGAAGAAAATAGATAGGAATCCACAGCTGAAAGAAGAATACGAGCGACAAATAGCGCTCCTAATAGAAAAAGGCTACGCAGAAGAAGCCGCCACCACCCCATCAGACGCCCGCACCTGGTATCTTCCGCACTTTCCCGTGCTTCATCCAGCTAAGCCGGGGAAAGTTCGTCCAGTCTTCGATGCAGCCGCTCGCGCCAGGGGGACGTCACTCAACGATCATCTGCTGACCGGTCCGGACTTACTTCAATCGTTACCAGGGGTGTTAATGCGATTCAGACAACATCCAATAGCCGTCGCCGCAGATATAGAAGAAATGTTTCTACGAATAGAAATCAACGAAGAAGATAGAGATGTCCTGCGGTTCCTGTGGCGACAACACCGGCGGGAGGGACCACCCCGCGAATATAGAATGAAGGCAGTGATCTTCGGCGCCGCCTGCTCACCGTGCATCGCTTTGTACATCAAGAACCACAACGCAGAACAACACAAGGAACAATATCCAAGAGCAGCCGACGCAATTATCCATAACCACTATATGGATGATTACCTTCAAAGTTTCCAAACGGAGGAAGAAGCTATGAAAATCACCCATGAAGTTGACACCGTACATAGGAAAGCAAAATTCCACTTAAGGAAGTGGACATCGAACAGCCCGCAACTACAAGAAAAATACAACAGCACAAGAATAGAAGATAGGACCGTCTCCATAGATAGAGCCGACAAAGAAGAGAAAATATTAGGCCTCACATGGAGGCCCGCCACGGACACATTGGGCTTCAACTTAAATATGGCCCGAATTCCGCAAGAGATAGTCAACGGAAGTCGCACACCGACGAAGAGAGAAGCCCTCCGGACGGTCATGTCTCTCTTCGACCCACTAGGATTAGCATCACCCGTCACCGTGCAAGCGAAAGGCATTTTACAAGAAACATGGCGAATCGGCATCGGCTGGGACGAGAAATTGCCTGAGAAGTTAGCCGAAGACTGGACGAAGTGGACACAGCACTTAATCAATTTACGCCATATCAACGTGCCACGATGTCATCCGGAGCTGAGCAGCGCGTCATCCAGGGAACTGCACACATTCGTAGACGCAAGCGAGAACGCCTACGCCGCCGCCGTGTATTGGAGAGTGCAAGACAAGGACGGCAACATTCACGTGACACTCGCCGTAGCTAAGGCGCGAGTTTCACCTCTGAAGATAGTATCTATACCAAGACTCGAGTTGCAAGCCGCTGTCCTGGGTTGCCGGTTAGCACGTACGGCTACAGAAGAATACCAGATTAAACCGGACCGTCGATACTTCTGGAGCGATTCAAGAACAGTATTAGCGTGGTTAAGGGCTGGTCCACGCACATTCAAACCATTCGTGGCGCATAGAGTCGCGGAAATAGAAGAAGAAACGAAAGCGAACGAATGGAAATGGGTACCTACGCGTCACAACGTGGCCGATGACGCAACTCGAGGAGTGCCCACGGATTTCGACACGGAACACCGATGGTTCACCGGACCCCAGTTCCTATACAAGCCGCAGGAAGAATGGCCCGGGCAAGATGAGCCTGGTGGCATAACAACAGACACCGGAGAAGAACGCACGCACATGGTATACACAGGCGATAGCAACACAACAGACAGCGGCGTACTCCCGGACATCACACGCTTCACGTCATGGCTGCGACTGCTACGAGCCACAGCACGCGTGTTGCAGTTCATCGACCGGTTACGCGAAGCGGTCGAAAATAGAAAAAACACCGCCTCACAAAACGCGGTACATTATAGGCGCACAGCGCGCAATATAGAGAAGGACCCGGCGTGGAATAAGAAGACAGCTCGCAAAATAGTACGGACAGCGCCGAGGTTCGACAATAGTGAAGAAAGAAATTTCATCAAATTAACTGCGGAATATATACAGCGCGCGGAACAATTGTGGATACGGGCGCGCAACAAGAATCGTTCAAGAACGAAATAGAAACACTCCGCGGTAAAGGGACAGTCGATAACAATAGCCGACTGAAACCACTAGCGGTGATCGAAGAAGACGGTTATATCAAGTTGAAATCAAGAATAGCAGCAGTCGTCGATGTTACAGACAGCATGAAGAAACCGATAGTCCTGGATGGGAATCATCGATACACCCAGTTATACCTGGACTGGGTGCATAGAACACATCACCACGCCGGAGTCGAGTTGGTGATGAACGAAGCTCGACAGCATTATTGGATACTTCGAGCAAGACCGACAATTCGCAGCATCGTCAAGCGATGTCAACTGTGCCGACTACGACGAGCAACAGCATCGATCCCGCCCACCGGCGACCATCCGGTCAGCCGACTCGCCCATCACCAGAGGCCGTTCACATACACAGGCGTGGACTTCTTCGGGCCTCTTAGTGTCACCGTGGGGCGACAACACCACAAACGCTACGTCGCGTTGTTCACATGCTTGACAACGCGAGCAGTACATTTAGAGTTAACCACCTCATTGTCCACAGACTCCGCAATATCCGCACTCAGGCGGATGATGGCCCGACGAGGGAAGCCAACCGAGATCTGGTCCGACAATGGGACCAACTTCCACGGCGCAGACGCAGAGCTACGTCGCGCCGCCATAGAAGCAAGTCGCGAAGACGCGGCTAATCATCGTATACGCTGGCGGTTCATCAGCCCCAGCGCACCATTCATGGGCGGAGCGTGGGAACGTCTCGTCCGCTCCGTGAAAACAGCATTAGCCGCCATACTGCATGAGCGGCACCCTTCGGAAGAAACATTAGTTACACTGCTGTGTGAGGCGGAATATACCGAGAATAGCCGTCCGCTCACACATGTGTCAACTGAACCGGACGACGAGGAAGCCCTCACGCCTAACCACTTTCTACTGGGAGGATCGGGCAAAGTGCAAACTCCGGGAAGTTTTGAAGACACCGATATCGATAGCCGGAGTCACTGGAAGAGAGCGCAGCGGCTAGCAGACCACTTCTGGAGCCGATGGCTCCGGGAGTACCTACCGGAACTTCAACACCGGCGGGAGCCCCGCGGCACGGGGCAACCTCTGCGCATCGGGGACTTAGTCCTGATCGTCGACTCCAATCTCCCGCGCAACACATGGCCGCGCGGGAGAGTAATAGCAGTGTTTCCCGGCCCAGACGGCGTCATCCGAGTGGCCGACATCCAGACCAAGAATGGCGTGCTGAGGAGGCCAACCAAACGACTCGTGGTCCTGCCAACGGGAGTTGCTGATAGTGAAGAGCAGGCTCCGGAACCAGACAAGGCTCCTGCAGCGCCCTCAACGACCGCTGCAGCGGCGGGAGAATAATGTTCCGGACCACCGCTTAAAGATTATATATAGTCATAGTTTGTAGAAATAAGTTCGATTAGATATAGCAAATTTATAAATAGTACAATTGTTACATAGTAACATCTTAAGAATAGTAGATTTGATAGGGATAAGTTTATAGAGATTTAAGTATTTTATGTTATTATTTACAAAATGCTTGACAAATAAATGATTATAATGATTGTGGTTTCAATCCCCGAAAATAAATAGGTCGGCAGATAGAAACAGAATAGACTATAGATCCCAAAATACATAGGGATCTTTTATAGTATCATTTCATTTGTAGATATGTAATAATAATTGTAATGTGCGTTGCGCGGCAGCATTCGTTCGACTGACGCGCGACCTCGCTCTCCCGCGCTATATATATATGAGGGGGAAGGGGAGCGAGGTCATATAAAAGGCGCGATCCGCGAAATCGCGAATTATTCCTAAACCGCACGTCGCGCAGCGCACACATCATAATAGAAATGTAAATTAAAGATGATATTGTCGTTTGATGCACAAATTGTAAGCATAAATTATAAGATTGATAAAATATAATAAAAATTGTATAAAGGGGTGAGGAGAATAGGGCGGCCAAGGGTCCGCTGGCTAGTAGCCAAAAATCGTATATAAGTAGCGTCCAAAAGCGCTACAAATCATAGCGAAATTGATCTCTGAATAGCGAAATAGACCTCAGAATAGCGAAATAGATCTCCGGATAGCGAAATCGACCTGAAAAGGAATCAACCACTGAAGAAATTCTCCTCGCCTCTGCATTCTGAACCACAAGAACCGTTTTCTCATTTACTGCCCGTCCACCATCGCCATCGTCAAGCCAAAGCCATAGTCGTCACAACCCTCTTCACGCATCGTGTCATCGCATCGTGTCACCGTCGCATCATCATCGCTTAAACGTCCTTCTCAGGACGAATCATCGTGGTGCCTATAAAGAGGCACCTGGTCCTTCACCCGCAACGCGCCCGCGGCGTTGATTGAGGCCCTTCAGGTAGGGAGTGCTTTGAAAAGGGCACTCTCTCACCTCGAGGAGGATAGATTGACGTCCGGGCGTACCAGCGACTCGGTGCCTGCCGACGCGCCTTCCGACTCCCGGGGGCAGCGGCCAGCACAAAGACCGAGACATGCAACGGTTTCTATGGAGAGGAGATCGACGCCAGGGCCCAGCTGTCGAATATAGGATGAAGAGCGTCATCTTCGGGGCCACTTCGTCACCATGCACGGCGATATACGTGAAGAACAAGAACGCCGAACTACATAAAGAAGAGTTCCCGGAGGCGGCTGCAGCGGTGGTTGTCAATCACTATGTTGACGACTACCTCGCTAGCTTCGACACTGAAGAGCAAGCCGTACGAGTCTCAAGCGAGGTCGCCTACATCCACAGCCGGGCGAACTACTATCTTCAGCGCTGGGCATCGAACTCGCGCCATGTACGAGAAGAGTTCTCACATAGAAATGAAGAGAACATGGTGCAACTCGACGCTGAGAAGATACTGGGAATGGTGTGGCGGCCTGAGGAAGACAGTCTCGGGTTCAACTTCAACGGGAACAAACTTCCGTTACACATCATACGAGGCGAACGCACCCCAACGAAGAGAGAAGCCCTCCGCGCCGTTATGTCGCTGTTCGACCCATTGGGCCTGGCCACACCCGTCACAATACAAGCCAAGAAGATATTACAAGAAACGTGGCGCACGGGTATCGGCTGGGACACCGAACTGCAAGAACGGGAAGCAGCAGCGTGGCGGAGCTGGATATCGCACGCACAGCAGTTACCCCACTTGGTAATACCACGGTGTTACCCCGGTGTGGCGACGGCACATACGACGGAGCTTCACACATTCGTCGACGCGAGCTCAGATGCATACGCCTGTGTCGTATACTGGCGGGCCGTATGCGTGACCGGCGAGGTGCGTGTGTCACTCATCGCAGCCAAGGGAAGAGTGGCCCCTTTGAACAAGGTCACCACTATACCACGTCTGGAGCTGCAAGCGGCCGTACTAGGGAGCCGCCTGTCACGCACGGCTGTCGAAGAACACGATCTGAAACCTGCCCGTCGTGTCTACTGGTCGGATTCGCGTACCGTACTGTCTTGGTTACGCACCGGGCCGCGTGCATTCAAGCCCTTCGTCGCTCACCGAGTCGCTGAAATTATGGAAGATACGAAAACGAACGAGTGGAGATGGGTGCCGACGGCCGACAACGTCGCGGATGATGCCACACGCGACGTACCACACCACTTCACTTCAACACACAGATGGTTCCGGGGGCCGCAGTTTCTATATCGACCAGAAGAAGAGTGGTCTCATGAAGACGATTCCCACCAGACGGAAAATACAAGCGAAGAGCGCGCCCACACAATACAGCTACAACACCGGCGGGAGCCCCGAGCTACACACGGAGTCATCAAGTTAGAAGACTTGGTGCTGGTGGCGGACGGCAACCTGCCTCGGAACTCCTGGCCGCGCGGCGTGGTGGTGGCTACGTATCCGGGACCGGATGGTGAAATACGGGCGGTCGACGTACGCACTAACAAGGGGATACTTCGGCGGCCTACGAAGAAATTAGTAATCCTGCCAATCGAACAACGCGAACTCGAATTAAATACAGCTTAGCTGCGGCGGGAGATATGTTCGCGACTATTGTAAATATTTGATTATTGTTAGCTTAATAAAATTTATAATTGTAGTAGTTTCAATTCCCTAATAGGTAGAATTAAATTGTATTGTATGTAAAGTTTAAATTAATAAATAAAGGAGCGAGTAGAGGTGGTCTTTTCGCGCTCTCCGTCCCGCTCGCACCTATGTGCGTAACACAATCGTTACCTAGTACGTGACACAGTGCGAGCGGGCGGAGTATAAATATAGGTGCCGAACGCGGCACAATTCATTCCGCTTCCATCGCTAGTACAGACCACCGAACTCTGCTCGAGAGGATATTTACACTTGTCTTTCTTGTTTCCACCTGCACCCGCAACCTTACAAACAAGTACGGGGAAGATACCCGTACAGAATGATAATAATAAATAGTGGGGAGTTTTGAAGAAATTCCAGATTATGTTTTAGATAATCAGTTTTCAAATGTACATGATAAAGAAAAATACTACATGTAAATAACACATTGCATGAGACAGATGGAATGGAAAAAAATATAAGTATTTACCTTAAACCTACAAAATATAAAGTAGTGACTACTATGATAGAGATATTCTGGTCATAAACATACAACATTTTTTCAGAAGTGCTTTATACTAATCTTACATAATATTACACAACAACAAAGTGGAATAACGATTATATGAAAACAAATATAAAAGAAGAAAGGTGAAGTATGTGAAACACAGAGTAAATTGGAGTTAATATATAAATGTAATTTATATTCGAAAGAGGAGGAAAAATCACGGTGCTGGTTACGCTGGAAAGGCCAATCGCACTAGAGGCATTCGGCTTATGTGTGGCAGTATAGTGTCAAAATGAGTCCACCATCGGTGTAACGTAGCACACATGCCTCCAAGGAACAAATACCTAATAGAGTGGATTGATTCATGCTTGAAAAGAAAATAAACTTAAAAAGGAGAGAGATGTAGTGTATGTGGAAACACTAGCAGTTTATTATCTATCGTCTCGAGCCGAGCGTACACGGACCGCCGTGCGCAAGAGGGAAGGGATTCCCTGCGCAAGCGCCGCGGAGTAAAGACGTGGAGCTATGGCTAACGAGCCGATATTACGTCGATAACAACTTACATACAAGAAGACATAAATAACAAATAAGTGAACACTACAGTGTCAACAGTCCAAATTACTAATCATCCCCTTCCCTCTTACACTGTTTATTGTAGACTAGCTGTACTCGCGACTTCGTCCGCGTGCAATTTAACTTTATTTTTCTAAAATAAAAATAGCCTAAGTTATTCCTAATTACATGAGCTACCTGCCAATAAAAGTCTCGTCAAAATCGATCCAGCCATTTCAGAAATTAGCCGGAACAAACAGACAGACAGACAAACAAAAATTTTAAAAATGTTATTTTGGCGTATTTATATTTATATTAAAGTTTTGGTCTGTATAAAAATATTGTTCAATATTATTGTGTGGCGAATAATAAGTGATAATTATTACGCAATTTGTTTCGCGACATTCTGCCGGCTGTACTGTTTGTTGATTGCGCAATATTTTTAGTCCAATCATCACAACCTACCCGGTCGCGTGTGCACAAAATGGCGAATACCATAAATACACTCAAAACCAAGGAAAGAGAGTTCATTATCGATTGCATCCACTTGTACCGCGATTTGCCGGCTTTATGGAACACCAAAAGTCAGATTTATCATGACAGATCAAAAAAACGTGCAGCCTACGATTTACTATTGACTAAATACAAAGAACTGTATCCTGACTCAACCAAAGAGGATGTGAAAAGGAAATTCAATATTCTAAGGACGAACTATCGAAAGGAATTGAAGAGATACAATGAATCTAAAAATTTTGGTAATACCAATACAAATTATATACCATCGCTGTGGTATTTCGAGGAAATGAGTTTTTTAAATGACCAAGACGTTTCGTTGGACGCAATAGCGGCTGATACTCGAGTTTTTAAAGTAAATAGCGAGGTCGAAGGAACTTGTAGTGTAAGTTTATATTTCTTTTCTTTTTCTCAATGTCACGGTTTTGACGGAATGTCATTCTCGATGATCAAGCGAGTTAGCACAGCGCCTTATACCTTCCGGTGGTCGCAGGTATTTTTTTTTCATGGATTATACCGCCACGAGTAGATTTTCTTTTAAACGTAAACTGTGGGACTACTATCTAAATGCGTAAGTTTGATTTTTTTCCTCTCGTTTCTCTTTACCTTATATTTTTCTTTTTACTCTCTGTGGTTTAACTGTCAGATTGTTTGGTATGTATTCATATAGTTGTGTATTTGTATATCATGTTATATATTCCTTTATGCATATGTATATATGTATATATATTTATATATTATGATAAATGTAATAGTATAAATATTATTATATCACTTTATATGCCTTGATTTTTTTTGTTATGATTATTTTTGCACCGCCAACAATTTTTCTCTGTACTACCTATGGTTGATTGGTACAACATACCGCATGGTGTTAAGTCCGCCAAAAGTGTGTGCATTAAAGTTATATAAATAAAAAAAAAAGTCCCGTCAAAATCGGTCCAGCCATTTCAGAGATTAGCCGGAACAAATAGACAGACAGACAAAAATTGTGAAAAATGTTATTTTGTACCGTATTTATATTTATATGCATGTAGTAAAAGACGGTTATTTCAATATTACAAACAGACACTTCAATTTTATTTATATGTATAGATGTGTATACTAGCTGTGCCCACGGTGTCACCCGCGAGAAATTATTGTTGCCTATATGTTATTCTGATGTAATAGCTTAATATAACCGTAAAGTTTCATCAAAATCCGTTTAGTAGTTTGCGTGAAAGAGTAAGAAACATCCATCCATACTCACAAACTTTCGCATTTATAATATTAATAATAAGATTTAAAAAAATGTAAAAATATTTCTATCAGTGATTGTGTATCAATAATACAAGCTCTGCTTAGATTGGTCCTACATGGCGCTGTGTGAGTCAAGTGTCCGTATTCTATGTTCCAAGACCACAACCTATACGCAATAGAAATAGAAATAATCTTTATACAACTAAACTTAATACAAGCACTTTTCACACGGAACGCAGAGTTATCACAAGAAGAACGAAAATTAAACTTGCGTGGTGCTCTTTTAAATAAATGTAGTTCAGAATTACATATCTGTATCTGTATCTGTGAGTCTGCATGAGCTTTATGTATTATAATTATAGTTATACTTAAAGTAAACTAGCTGTACCTGCGACTTCGTTTGCGTGGAATAGTTACCTTGGATAGCATAAAATATTTAATAATCTAACTAAAAAAGTCAAAGAAAAAAGTTTCACCGTTCTTGCTTCAAAAATGACAAATATCCAACAAAATAACCATTTTAAAACATTTTCGCATTAAAAATGTTCTTTCTCAGGGTCTAGACTATCTGTGTACTAAATTGCATTTAAATCGGTTCAGTAGCTTTGACGTGAAAGTAAGACAGACAGAGTTACTTTCGCATTTATAATGTTAGTAAGGATTGTGTTTCGGGTTGAATGAGGCGTGACAACTTAGTCCTTAAAAATGGCAACCCATACTTGTGTGTTGATTCCATTACGTCCATTCAAAGTGCTGTTCATGTATATACTGGTGACAAACACTTTGCATCAGATGGGTCTTCAGTGTGTTTGCTATTCCAGTTGGGTTTACAAAAAAATATTCAAATCTGCCGTTAACAACAATTCTAGCTGCTGTACTGTCTGGTTGTATGGGCTTAGACTCTTTGCCTTTCCTATAAAATAGATAAATAAAACAAAAAAAAAATACAAAACGCTGTTCTTTTACAATGAAATAAAAAAAATAAGAAGGATTAATCTAAATTACCAAAATAAATTTAGATTAAAAAAAAAGAAGGAAGATTTCAAATTTGTTACTTTTTCTTTTTTCCAGGAAAATAGTCGGCGACTCCCATCAATAATAAATAAACATTCCACTAAAAAGTCAAGAATAGACGAACCATTTGCGAATTTTGCACATGAATGCTTAAATGGCGGGAAACTTATAAATTCAACTTGTGAGAGAGGGAATAACGAGAAAGATGAATATTATCATTGGGCAATGGCGTGTGCTGCGGATATTCGTAAAATGGAAACCACACAACGACTTTATGCAAAGAAAGCGATCGCTGACGTTATAATGGAGGGACAGCTGGGGTTATTACACCGTCATTCTTGTTAAACTAAATAAAACTACAGCCAGTACTATGCTAGAGGACAGATTGCTAAAATAATCTAAGTGGGCCTGCATCCCCACGTAATTTTACTCAGCTACTCCTGAGAACGCCACTAATCTCTCTCTTGTTAGACCTACATTGAGAGTCACTGGCAGTTTTTATATTCCTTTCATCATATTTAAAACTAGCTTTTGCCTGCGGCTTCCCTCGCACTAATTTATCCTCTTAGGGGTGGAATTTATCAAAATCCTTTCTTAGAGAATGCCTACATCATAGTAGCTTTATGCATGCAAAGTATCAGCTGTAACGGTTTAAAATTAACAAAGTTCCATACAAACTTTCATCCCCTATTGGGGGTAGAATTAATCAAAATCCTTTCTTAGCGGATGCTTACGTCATAACACCTGCCTGCATGCCAAATTTCAGCCCGATCCGTCCAGTGGTTTGGGCTGTGCGTTGATAGATCACTATGTCAGTCACCTTTGAGTTACATATATTTAAGATATGAGAGTACTTTTTATACAATTGTTTTATTATTACTTCTGTCACTGCGCTCTTCAATAATAAACGTCTCCACGAGCATCTATATTATTTTCATTCATTATTACTGTCAATAAAGTGATAGTTGCTAAAATAAAGAGAAAAAATATTAAAAAAGAAAATATGTATATATAGGTACATATATGTCCTATATTTATTGTTGTTGTGTATTTTATTATAATGATAATAAAACATTATTTAATTTATTCAATATTAAATTATTAATTTCAAATTTTGGACATTATATTTTTAGTTGCACTAGTGTTACCCGCTCACTACTAGCTATGCTGCGCAGTTAGTTTAAAGTGTAATAAAGAATGTATACGATAATGATGATCATGATACATAATATATACCTATCTACCTACCTAATATATACGTACGTACGTACCTAATATATATATATATATACGTTAGTTACATATAAATTATAGCTAACTTAGCGTAGTATAGCGTTACGTCTTTGCCCTTCGCAAGAAAGACTACATATGTATTTGAATATACAAAAAAAAAGTGGACGCTAAATTAGAATTTTCATTAGAAATTTCAATGATCAAATTTGGATTTTTCAATTTTTTTATTATCTTTTTGAGTAAATATTTAAATTTAAAAAACATTTTGCCTTTGATATAGGTTTCCTGTTTGCGTCTCTTGGAACAACATATATTTTATTATGTTATAGAAATAAATATATTTTTTTATATTTACAAATAATTGTAATAATAACAAATAAATGTTTGTATACTTGAAGATATTTGAAGGGTACAAAGACTATCGGTTTGAGATTTGAGGAGAATAACCAAAATAATTTATATGGACTGGCAGATGCATTTTCTGCCTATTGCTTTAAATATGCTGGCTTATGTATTAGTTGGTCATCAAGAAAACTGGCATATGCTGACAATACCTTCGAATATGAATTTATTTTCGAAGGTTTTGTCCGCTATGCCAGATTGCATCACTTATAACAATTTTTATATGAAACTATGCAAACGATTTTATTTTTAGACGCATTATAGATTAATAAATGTATTCAATGTTGGTTCAATGGGGTTTATAGGGGTGGTGCCGATTCTTAAGGACCGTAGACTTTTGCTCTGTCTGATATTATTTACGGAGAAGAGGGACATGCGCCCCCTTAATTAATATCTAATGTAAAGCTACCTACGTCATGCAAGTAATTCCTTTGTATGTTTGTTTGTAATACTTTACTGTACAATAAAATTAAATGAAAGGACACTATATTTAATTAACTTAAAGAATAAATGCGTACAATGGCGGATTTATACCAAAAGTGGGATTTCTTTCAGTCAGTCCTTAGAGTGACTGAGAGGAATTGTGGAGTGGTGGAAATAGGTACAATAAATAATACGTTACAATGAAATAGATATCGCTATTGTTAGTTTTTGGTAAATTTCCATAAAAGTATATGTATTATTAGTTGGTACTTATTTTGAACTTTAAAAAGCGTCGTGCCCTTTGGGTCGTTACTGCCCCGGCTAGAACGAAAGGTCATTGCTCGAATGACCAGCTCCAAATAAAAGTTTGTGCGTCAAATTATATTTCTGAGTAACTTTTCGGTGATAGATAATAAATTACCAAAATAAACCAAGACATGAAGGCTTCTGGCCATTTTGGATTAAAATATACCTTGCGAAATGTGTAAGTAGCGAAATAATGAAAGTGTAGTGAGGCTCACTTTCCGCCATATTGGTTTAATATTATGTACCTATACCTAGCGAAATATGATTGGAATAATGTCAGTGTTTCGTTCATCAACACTCTCGAGTATTAACAATACCTCAGATTACCCTTGGCTGGGTTAATAGTTATTAAATTATATTTATTACTATATTTTCCCGCGACTTCGTCCGCGTGTAAATTAACTATATTTTTCTAATTTTTTTTTAATAATAGTAGCCTAAGTTACTCATTATTACATAAGTTATCTACCAAAAAAAAGTGCTGTCAAAATCGGTCCAGCCATTTCAAAAATTAGCCGGAACAAACAGACCGACAGACAGACAGACAAAAATTGTAAAAAATGTTACTTTGATGTATGTACCTACAGTGTTTATATTCATATACATGTAATAAAACATGGTTATTTCCATATTACAATTTTATTTATATGTAGATATAGATATAGATTATTTGCATATTACCTAAACCTAGAAAAAGTAAATACAAAATATATAATTATTGTAATAAAACAATTTTGAGAATAATATTTCTTGTCAGTTCTTCTCATCTCGAAATAGGAATAATTCCTAACTGACGGTAGATTTGACATATCATTGGAGTCTGTAATAGAGCTACGTGAATAAAGATATTTTGGATTTGAATCTGAATAAAACAATATTTATTTTCTTTGGATTTTAAGTGACCTGTGCTCATGCGGTGATTTGGCGCCAATTTATTGACACTTGTCAGTGCGTGTAGGTTATAAATTATAATGGCGGCGCGCGGGGCATCGTTCTAGAATTTTACACTCAAGGTACACGTGAATGTCTATAAAATTTTCCCATCCCAGACGTACTATCGATTCAAAAATTTTTTCACCCATCTCCACGCAGACGCGGTGATATAAAAATTTTTATAACCCCCCGTTGCCCCGCGCCCCGCGCCCCGGGCGTTTCACCCAAAAATACGTCTGCAAGGAAAATCGAAGGACGTCATGCAAAAAAGAAAAATGCTACAAGTACAGTCGCCAGACAAAAATATTAGATGAAAATTATTACATTTATTTTCATAATTTTTATACCTTTTTTTAATTTGTTAATAATATATTTAAGCACGAAAAAATTAAAATGCTAGAAGTACAGTCGCCACAAAAAATATTACTTTCACCATTTTTATAATGTGTTATATATATGTGTGTATAGTGTTAATAATATATTAAAGAACATTTAAGTTACCAATCTGATATATGTATATTTAGATCGAGTATAGAACGATGAAATATATAAATTATTCATTTACACAAACTTAAATCCTTTAAAAACGGCATTATATAAAAAACAATATTTATGTCCAAAGTTATCGCCTGACAAACGGAAATTGTTGTTTGCTACTGAAGTTAGAGATTGTGAAAACAATAAAAAACGAGCCGTTTTTTGAATTTTACCTGGGATTCTATTCCCAGGACTAGATCATCCTGTCTGTTAAATCTTATATATAAAATTCTCGTGTCACAGTTTTCGTTCCCATACTCCTCCGAAACGGCTTGACCGATTCTCATGAAATTTTGTGAGCGTATTGAGTAGGTCTGAGAATCGGCCAACATCTATTTTTATCCCCCTAAATGTTAGGGGTAGTCCACCCCTAAATTTTTATTTTATTTTAAGGCAAAACAACGTTTGCCGAGACAGCTAGTTTCATCTAAATTTGTTTAGATATGTTTGATTAAGGATGATTAAGGATGCCTTATTTTTTTTACTATTTAAATGGAATTAAATTAATGTAAGAGACCTTTGATATAATATCTTATATATAAAATTCTCGTGTCACAATGTTAGTTACCATACTCCTCCGAAACGGCTTGACCGATTTTTATGAAATTTTATATAAATATTCAGTAGGTCTGAGAATCGGCTACTATTTATTTTTCATATCACTTAGTGAATGGGTTTTACACCCCTACATTTTATTTTATTTTTTGGTCAACATATTTTTTTTTAATAGTGGCAATATACATATACAATCCTAAATTTTTACTCTTTTATCACCAACCCCTATTTTTTAGTTGCGATTTTAATTTATATGGCAAAACAATATTTGCCGGGTAGTAATTTTATAAACGTATATGTATTTGGGAGGCACATATTAAATGTGGCAAAACGTAACAATAAGAAAATAAAAGAATTTCAATCGAAAACTGTATACTGTACATTAAGTTTTTATTTTATTAATTTGAAAATATTATTTGTCTGACTGTACATATCTTTGTATCGCAGTTTGATCAATGTCGTTTTAGAAGCAATGCCATAAATTAAGTACCATAAAGTCTCTCTCTCTGTCCAACTCATATTCCCAGTTTATCTGGGGTCGGGTTTAGGGTCGGGATTCTGTTCTGGGTTGTCTGAGTAGTAAGGTTCTGGTCCTTCTGCTTCTTAGTATTGTTCTATCAAGTGGCGGGTGGCGTGCCCTTACCTCTGGTCGAGTATGGTATCTTAAATAAATTGAGTACCATAAAGTATTATGTTTTTTTATCCAGAACCTATATATTGAGGCACATTTTTTTAAGTGTACTTAAAGAACTGACCTGACTTCATGCTCATCTATTCCTCCATAGGTAGCTTATACCCACTGTTGGCGTGCACCATTCCATTATCACATAAACCAATAAATTTAAAAAAAGTTTGTCTGTTCTTGCTTATCACTGAAACGGCTGGTTCTATTTTGATGGGACTTTCACTCGCAGATTGGAATCGAACCTTGTTAATAGACCTAAATAGGCTTACTTAATAAATAAAATAAATTGACGCTATGTC